AAATTTGCTTGGAAAAACTCCTTAGGTATCACCATGTGGTTGTTCCCTCTCTCTGAACTAATTTCACTAATTGGACGTATTTTTGCCACACGAAACTATGTGCATTAAAGTATGATAATCATAATGCACATAGTTCCGTTTGGCAAAAATACGTTCAATAAAAATGTGAGTGGGAACCAATGAGCAATTTGGTTCCATTTTGAATTCAAGAGAGGGCAGGTTGTTAAAAATCAAAATTAAAATTAATTATTTTTGCAGAAACTTTGACTTTCTTGGTCGGAAATGAGAATTAAACCTGATACAGTTTATCGTAATTAGAATTCTGAAACGAAAAATTTTTCGTATTATATAGAAAGAAATTCCGTGACAAACCGTCCCTTATTTTCCAATAAACTCAGTTCTTGTCTACTGGACTCGATGCACGCGATATATGGATATATCACTTGACGGATAATGAGTCGCAAGTCCTAGCGCCTTGATCCTGGATGAAACTATTCGTGCTCTGCGGATGTCCGTATTGCATACGCAATTGATTGAAGGCGTTTGACTAGACACGGAGCTGTGACGACTGCGACGTGAGGTAGAAAAGATCACATTTTAAAAGCATCGCTGATACTTAAGCCTTAATTACTGAAAGTTAAGTCACGCGACATCCGTTTTTTATTGGTTTGTGTGTTTATGACTCGCATTGTGTTTCGCAATCCGGTGAAATATTACATGTTTAGTTCAAGTACACATTACAGGGAGGGAACGACCCTAAAAATAAGCGGTGGAAGGAGAGGCTGCGATAAGATTGCGCAAATGCCCCTTTTTTACTTTTATGGAGATGTATAGGATTGCGCGAATTTTTCTGGTACTGAAAACTCACATGTTAACCACAAATATTCAAAATTCAACGAGGAAGCGTTAATCTGGCAACCTTGGTAGTTTGTGGTTGATAACCACAACGCGGAAGAATGTTCATTCTCTCCTCACTGTCTCTATAGAAAGCCCTCGTAGCACCAATGGCCTAGAGAACTTTCATAGACATTTAAAAAGTGAACTATGCGGCCGCCAACTATTGGAAAAAAACTTCACGTAAAAAATCGTAGAACAGCTATGTTGAAGTTTTAAGACATAGATGGATTCAAAAGCCTTGCACCCAGAAGAAAGCGTACGTTTATCCCTGATTGCTACGTTATGCACCAATTTTATGTTTTATCTTACATGTATATTACATAAGTATATATTACATGTGTATTACATTAGTGTATATTACATGTATATTACATTGTTTTATATTACATGTTTTTAAAAAGCTACACCAAGTTTTTCTAAAAAGTTTTCGGGAATTTACTTAACTGATCTCAAATAAAAGTTTCGAAAATTTCGACGCGATTTTTTTTTTCGTTCTATTTTCTTTTAATGCAACAAAAAAAATTAAATATCATCCGAGTTTCTGACCTGTTACAATGAGGATGAATATTTTCCCTCTAATTATGGTAAAAACTGGAGCAGAAAGTTAAGAATGATTACACGTAGTCCTACAGCATTCCTATAGTCTTGTAGGCGCTAATGTGCGTTTCACGTCAACTGACCGACTGCACTGCGTTTGGCGCAATGCGAGAAGTATTCATGCAGTCTTGTAGGCGCTATTATGGGCTTTACGCCGACCGCGCTGTTTGGCGCAATGCGTGAAGTATTCTGAAGTCTTGCAGGCGCTAATATACGTTTAACGCCGGCCGCTTTGTTTTTAGCGCGGCTATTCGAACTCGCATTAGAATAATTGCGGCATTGAATAATGGAGCTTAAAGGGCCTATGTTATGTTTCGACACCGTATGAGCATTGCAACGTTGCCTCGTTTCTCCCCGAATAAATATTTTTTTCCGAAAAAAGTTAGGAAAGTTCTTTACACCCACGACCATTATTCAATCTTTTCACTCCATTTATCATCAGACGGTAAGACATCGATGACTTGTCAACAAACTAACCTAAACTAGCGTTAACATACAAATGCGTTTATTTTCCAACTGTGTTCTGTTTTGCCGAACTTCTACTTTAAATTAACTCCATTTTAAATCCGCGCATTTTTGCAGCAGATGTTAAGGTTTCTATTCACGCAATCCTTGTGTATTTTCTTAGACCTTTCGTGCAATCCTAAATTACCAAGGTCAGTAGGTGATGGAACTCTTATCATCAGGGCCCAAAAGCCAACCTATGAACTCGAATTGTCCAGAATGATTTTTTATTATAATTTTTACGACATGTTCTTTCCAAAGCGCGTATTTCTGAGCGTACATTTGTGCAAGGGGTCGATAAACAGGGTGTTCGCAACGAACTTCTTAATAATCGATGCTTTACCTTAGCTTCAAATGGGGAAATATCGATAATCGATCATTCACGCCTCGTCACTGCTACACTGAAAAAAAAAATATGGTAGATTTTACCATTCTCTGACACAATAATCCGAATATGGTAAAAAACACCAGACTCTATGGTACCATACTACTACCATAATAACCTAATTACCACCATAATACTTACCATAATACTATGGCAAGGATAACTAGAGTTCTACTGAATACTGCTATAATTCTGGTTACTTCCACTAAATGGTATTACCGTGTAAAAAATCAAGCAGACTTTTAGTAGATGTTATCATACTTTTTTTTCAGTGTAAGTAGAAGTGCCGAGTTCGAAGCTGCACTACGATCTCATCGTGCAAAATAACTCTATCATTCCGATTAAAATAGTGCAGATAAGGCAGCTCTAACCCGCGGGATCGCAACTGCATATCCATGCGGAAGGTGTTCACCCTCAGAGGATAAAACATCCGCGGCACACCCACACACACACACTCTCAACGATAAAACTAAGAAGCCCGCCGTGAGTGACGACAACCCCCTCGTATTCAGTTTCACTTACAACCCTGTCTTCGATGTTGACAAGTCAACCATAAAAAGGAATCGTTCCCCGTTGATAGAAATTCGGCGCAAATTCAGCGGCAAGCCGGCATCATATTTTTCCATCGTCGTGGTTGTTCAACCCATTGATTCCAACATTCCTGTACAGTTTGTTTAACTGCACTTAGTTCGATAGTGATCGATGCCATCGTTATTTCTGTGTTGCCGCCGCCGGAACAAATGTTTTTAAAACAACCTTTTAATTTACAAAAATTGTCTCTGATTCAAAAAATTTTTCTTGGCTCAAAACAATTTGTTTTATCGAAGAAAATTTTTAATCTATGATCGAATTACATTCTTTAGAATGAACAAAAACAAAACATTTGAGTTCAAGTAATAATGCTGTCACTTAACGAAAAAAAATATTACGGTAAAATAAATAAACAAAAATATAAAGCAAGCTAATTTTTTTTTTTTTTAAATCAGAGACCATGTTTTATTTTTATTTAAAGAATAAAGAATTTTTGCCGGTTTTTAGAGAGGCGCTGGCTTACTGATAATGTGCACTAAAAAAATATGGTAGATTTTACGTACTCTGACTCAGTGATATGAGTTTATGGTAAGAAACACCAGACTTCATGGTAGCATTTACCATATTATGGTAAGTATCACCAGAGTTCTGGCGAATCTACTATAATTCTGGTAATTTTTACAGAATAGTACCACTGCGTAAAAAATCAAGTACACGTACAGTAAGTGTTACCATACTTTTTTTCAGTGTGAAATGGATTCAGAAAAAATATGCCCTTAGGGGAGAACTTTCATCACAGATTAATAATTTTGAGAATCGCCGAGTGAAGCCTTCAAATGGACCGTGCCATTTCTTTATAAAATTACATGGCAAGAAGTTTTGGTAATATTCTTGATGTGTTCTTCAAACTATTACTGTCAGGAGCGTCGGTAATGCTCCGCGATATGGAGCCAATGCCAATTCTATTAGTGGCCGAAACAAGGCACTGAAATGTCGTACACCTTGTTCTCCACCGGCTCGGTGTCACACTGGCTGGTTCAGAGAATAGATTTTTTTTTTAGATCTCTAGATAATATTCTAGGATATTGCTTAATTTCAGTGAGTGAGGAGCACAGCACTCGAAATGAACTCCTTTAGCAAGGTTGCTAGATTTATTTTGGCTGTGTTTCGAGACTCAACACACTGATAAAAAGCTATGGCTTGTAAACAAATTAGTGCTTCATGACTTCATATGGAACACCGCTAATATCAGGTCCATAATCTACAATCGTAGCTAATCTACAAGAATCAAGCATCAAAACACGATTCTGTGACCAGCGCAACTGACCCATTGTCACGTGTTTCGGTAATGATGGGAGTTCTCTCAGTGCTCCCGTTCCATGTCCGTCAAAAGTTTCGAGATTCATATTTTTTTTGTTCCAATTTCTCCCACTCCAGACCGTCAAAAGTTCCGAGATTCCTTTAAGAATTTTTCAAAAACTCCGAGAAAGTTCCGGAAAATGCAAAAGATCCGGAAAATGTCGGAAATTTCGAAAGTTCCGGGCAAAATTCAGGAAAATCTCAAAAGTTCCGGAATTCGGAACTAGTTCCGGGAAATGGGATCATTGATGTTCTGTGGGAGTTTGGAAGAGGGATTTCGGGAATTTATGCGGAATGTGAATATCTGATGTGCGATGGTGTTTTGCAGGGGTCCGACCCATTGTCACGTGTTTCGGTGTTGTTGTGAATGGTAATGGTAGGAGTTCTCTTAATGCATATCCGTCAAAACTTCCGGGATTCGGAATTTTTTTGTTCCAATTTTTCCCACTCCATGACCGTCAAAAGTTCCGGGATTCCTTTCAGATTATCTCAAAAGCTCCAAGAAAGTTCCAGAAAATGCAAAAGATCCGAAAAATGTCGGAAATTTTAAAAGATCCGGAAAATGTCAGAAATTTCAAAAGTTCCGGGCAAAATTCAGGAAAATCTCAAAAGTTCCGGAATTCGGAGCTAGTTCCGGGAAATGGGATCATTGATGTTCTCTGGGAGTTGAGAGATTTCGAGAATTTATACGGAATGTGAATATCTGATGTGCGATGGTGTTTTGCAGGGGTCGGTGCGGAGCGGAGGCGGCGGGGCCAACACGATGGACGCGAACTGGTGACGCGGCGCCGGCATGGGCAATAAATTGAGTGCCTGCTCTTGCGCCCCGCTGATAAGGAAAGCCTACAGATACGAGGACTCCCCGTGGCAAACGTCCAGACGCAGGGACGGCCATTTGCTCAGGTAAATCATCCGCTTCCGCCAAATTACCTCCACGACTACTTTCGAATCTCCATGTTTTCAAAATCGGAGAATAAAGCAGTACTGCCGTGCTGAGGAAAAGCGCCGTACGAGCCTCCAGGCGTTGCAGGATTTCCTTAAGGTGATTCGTCAAGCTCAAGTGACGTGCTCGAACTGGCGTGCGATATATCGCAATGATTAGGTAAAAAATCTCGGCAGATTTTAAATTTTTAGCCAAACAAACGACAATAGCCCCTGCGCAAGTGCGCAAGAGCCTAAAGAATCATTCTAAGCCCAAAAATCGGCAAAATTCAGAGAAATTAAAGCAGAATAGTGTTTGGAAAAAAACCTCGCATTCGATACAGAAATCGATAGCTGAATCAAATGCGAGGTTTTATCCCAAACGCTATTCTGCCTTCATTTCTCTGAATTTTGCAAATTTTTGGGTTTAGAATTATTCTTTATGCTCATGCGCAGGGGCTATCGAATTTTTTTTTTGCTAAAATTTCAAAATCCGTCGAGATTTTTGACCTAATCGATGCGATTTATCGTATGCTAGTTCGACCACGTCAATTGAGCTTGATGAATCACCTTAAACAAATCACGAATATTCTGGAAAATTTGTGAACGTTTTTCCTCCAATTTTTCAGATGGTTTCGTTCTCAATTTCACCTAAATTTCCAGGAAAAATATCCATAGATTTCTTCAAGAAGAATCATTTTATCGTTGGAAATTTGGCAACTCTCGAATGTTCATGCGACATTTTTCCGTAGCACGGCAGAGTAGAAAAAGTACACTGCCAAAAAAAAAAAAAGTTACGGGCTAAATGGACATACCGTCCGTTCCGGGCTCAGAGGGCGAAAGTTCCGGGTGCTGGAGCCATAAAGCTTCGATTACTCCTGATGCTACGCCCGGAACTTTCGGCCTCTGAGCCCGGAACGTGAACGGTACCGTCTATATAGCTCGTAAGCACGGCTTCCACGGCCGGAGTTTTTCTTTTCAGTGTACAAAAAGGGTACTGATATATGTTCCTTAACCAAAATTCCACGTTGAAAAGGACTCGCGCAATACCCAAACAGCAACGTTCTACGTTTAAAATAAACCGAAATACTGCGCTTTGAGAAATTCGTTTAACTACGTCACCCACCGCGATAGTGACACCCATGGTTTCTTCAACCTTGCTTTCATCCGAGTTACACATTGAGTAACCAGTAAAAATGTGTGTCTTACTGATTGATGAAAGCAAGGTGGAAGAAACGAAAGGTGCCACTATACCTTGATGGATGACGTCTTAAACCGAATTTTTCAAAGCGCAATGTTTCGATTAATATTGAACGTAGAAACTTGCTGTTGAGACAGATCTTTTTGTTTTTAGCTGATCTGTAAGAATCGAGCATCAAAACACAATTCTGTAACCGGCGCAAGGCGGAACTGACCCATTTTGAAAAATCCAATGGGCCAGTTGCGCTGGTAACAGAATTGTGTTTTGATGCTTGATACTTGTAGATTAGCCAAACATAATAAGATCTCTCCAACCAGCAACTTTCAATGTCGAATATTAACCGAGATATCGTCCTTTGAAAAGTCGGGTTTTCTACGTCATCCACCGCGGTGGTGCATAACATGATATGGACTGCATTTTGCAATTTGGAACTATAAAGTCTGGCCCAGTTTAAAAAGAACGTATGTGCCATTAGTTTCCCTATGCACGTAAGTGTTTTTTCAGATAAGCCAGAATTTATAGTTCCAAATTGCAAAATGCAGTCCATATGTACTACCGCGGTAAATGATGTCACACATCGAGTTTTTCAAGGCGCGATATCTCGATAAATATTCAACGAAAAAGTTGCTGTTTGGACAGATCCTTTTTTTCAGTTGATCTGGAAGAATCAAGCATCAAAACACGATTCTGTGACCAGCGCAAGGCGGATGACCCATTTAGGAAAATCCAATGGGCCAGTTGCGCTGGTGACAGGATCCTGTTTTGATGCTTGATTCTTTTAGATTAGCCAAAAATAATAAGATCTGTCCAAACAGCAACTTTCAATGTCGAATATTAACCGAGATATCGTCCTTCGAAAAGTCGGGTTTTCGACGTCATCCACCGCGGTAGTGCATAACATGGTATGTACTACCGCGGTGGATGACGTCATAAACCGAATTTTTGAAAGCGCGATGTTTCGGTTAATATTGAACGTAGAAACTTGCTGTTGAGACGGATCTTTTTGCTTTTAGCTGATCTATAAGAATCAAGCATCATAACACGATTCTGTGACCATAGAGCAAGGCGCAACTGACCCGTTTTGGAAAAATCCAATTATTTAAAGTATCAAAACTTACACTTCATCATTACAAGTATCTCGTCTGAAATTTTGTGATTTTCCCGTTCAGATGAGCAACGCAGGGATCTCGGATCACAAATCACCCTCGTTCTCAGTCTTGCAGTCAACGTTTTTGTCCCTGCGCCGCCGTGCATCACGCCCTGCAAAGATTGTCAAATGGCCAAACCCCCCTAAATTCCCCCTTTTGCGTCCGTGTAAAATTATCAAGTATTTTAACTTGTTGTTCGGCAACACCGCGCCGTGCTCATCCCAAATTGCATTTCACTTATCCCCGGGCTCGGCTTCGAATCCAACAGTTTTGACCCACTCACACCGGGCTCTCTATGCCCACCGTCTCACAATGTTGACAAATTTTGCACAGTCTGGAACGGCCATAGGAAGAAGAGCCGCAGCCTATGGAGGTAAATTTGAAAATTTTGCAGCGGGCTGATTGTTGAAATTGATATACAAAGCTATGGACAAAGAAGACAAAAGAGATATGGGGCGATCGAGGGATCCTATTGGTGGAAGCGGGAGGTTGCAATGGACAAGGACGGTAGATAATAGACTAACTACCGGCAACCCGAAAGAGACCCTTTGGTCAGTCCTTCATTTTCTCCATTAGTCTTTAGGAACCAATCATTTCAACCAATAGAATCGCTCTATATTCCCTATGTCTTCTTTGTCCATCGCCTTGTCTATCAATTTCAACAATCAGTCCGCTGGAGCATAGATGTGTCTAAATCCCTTGATGTCTAACGGACAATAAATCTAGTCTATCGACAGCTGTAGGTCTTGACAGAATATAAGTCAATAGGAAAAAAGAAAAAAGGGAAGAAAACAAAAGGCAGAGTTTTTCGTTGTGCAAAACTGTCATGCCAAAGGAAAATGACGTATGAAAATCGTATTCAATTGATTTGGACACATCATAGCATATTATGTGCGAACAAGATCTGAGCTCTTGTTAAATTAAAAAAAAAGAAACACCCCAAGGTTTCTCTTGCTCTGTTTCCATATTATGTTTGTATCCATTTGCCCTATATCTGGTGGTGCCTCGGTAGCAACGCGAGGGACACAGCCGAACATGAGAGATACATTTTTTAAATCTCCCGAATAGGAGCGATACCTTACTATTAGAAGAGGGAGAAGCACTGAGAGTTCACGCCTCGCGCCATAGCGCCTTCAATTTTGCACACGCATCACGGACAACCATCAAGTTCAAATAGTTGTATCACTGCGCCGTGATCAACGCGCAGCTTTTTGAGCGATCACCACGCCTTGTCGCTTGATCGCTTTGTCTATCAATTTCAACAATCAGCCGGCAGCTGTTGAATTTTGATGAATTTCGTTTTGGCGGAAACTACCGAGCAAACGGAGCACGAAGATGTCTTTGCTTTTCAAATTGAACGATCATCGGAGGAGATGAGACAAAATTATTTGATCCGTCAAAATACATTTGTTCAAACGGGAAATGTCGCTTGATGACGTCAAAAGCCGATACATTTCCTCACTTTAAAAATACTTGGCACTTGGCCCATGAAGCATCCTCAGATGAAGAAATACATGTTTTTTTCTTACGAATCCTCCATTATCAAAGGTACGTTTTTTTATCAGATTGGGTCGCAAAATTCGATTCTGCAACGGAAAACTCTCCTCAGTGTCTTGAAGAGTAAATTATTGTAAATGGTTAACTTCATACTTGCGTCAAAATCAAACGTACAGTCTGAATATAGTCCAGCAGTTTTGTGCTTCGAACATAAAAGATACAATTTAACAACTCAAAACTACGTTTTTTCATAGAAAACTGCAAATTACCATTTTCCGGTCTGGTTTGACATATTTGAGTGTTTTTCCTCCCCCGACAATTGTTAAACACTCCTTTCATGATCTGATATTAATAACTTACTTGTGATATTTTGTCGATTAAGGTCCCTTTTACTGTGAATAATCATAATTATATTAAAGTTGCGTTGCAGTCTTTAATTTTAATCGTAGAGATTGACATTCAGAGTTCACGTGAGGTAGGCTATTCACGCTTACAGGAATTAAAATGGAAACAAGCGCAATAAAAAAATACTGGAAAGGAAAGGAATGAAGGATGCGCATTGATAACGGCGCAGAGATACAACTATTCGTGCTTGATGGATGCCCGTGTTGCATTTGCAAAATTGAAGGCGCGATGGCGCGAAACGTGAACTCGCAATGCTCCGCTTTATGCTGCTAGTGCCAATGTAGTTCAATTCAAATTCAGCAGACAAATTGAAAAACGAGGCCAGAATATGTCTTTGCTGCAGCGAAAAGAAAAGTTTTTTTCCTCAAATTCTCTCGTAATAATTTTTTCAAATAACAAAATACTGATGTAAATTTGCAAAATCATGCAACAGGGGAAAAAATCAATTATTAAAAATCCAAAAAATGTGTTGTTACAAAAACGCAACACCATGCCACAGAGGGTTAAAGGCTCCTCTCTTTATATCTTCTGGTTTGCGATAGACTCATTCAAGAACCCAGAAAAGCTTTTACCCCACCAGTAATTTAAATTCAAAAATATGTAAGAGACCCACAACATTTGACTTACAATTTTGATGGAAAACCATTTATAAATTTCGCCACCTTGCCGAAGCAACAGTGTCGAAAAATTGCCGGACGCTAAACGGAACCTCAAGTTATGCGAGGTCGTTT